ACCTGCCGCCGAAGTGCCCCAAAGACCGGGAGTGCGGAAGGACCCCCCTGCCTCAGAATTGCCAACAACGACCGGGAGCACGGAAGGACCCCCGCCTAGGGCGCCAAAAACTCTGGCGCCGCTCCTGCTCAGTCCCCTACCCCCTTTCTTTCCTTACTCCAGCCCAACATGTCCACTTCTTCCCACCCCCGCATCCCCTTTCCAGAAAACCGACACCCACCAACTCTAGGCTGTAACAGACTCTGGCTTTTTCACCCACTTCCTCACAGCTACTGGCCCCACATAGCTGCACTGCCACTTTCATGCGCCCGCTTGACTTCCTAATACCATCTGCTGTCCCCCAGCAAGCTTTTAGCCCCAGGGATTGCTAGAAAACTAGCAGCAGAGGGAGATGAGTCATGTTGGAAGGGCAGGCTAGGAAGGAAGTGGGAGTCCTGGGGATAGAAGCTTCTCCTATTGTCTCAATCTGTCCAATCTCCAATCAGCCTGTCCTGAATAAAGATCCCTGACACAGATCCTCTATATGCATCCGAAGAAGTGGGCTGTAGTCCACGAAAGCTTATGCTCTAATAAATTTGTTAGTCTCTAAGGTGCCACAAGTACTCCTGTTCTTCTTTTTACAGATCCTCTAGATACTCTACAAGTATCTAGGAAATAGCCCATTGCCAAGTGATGTATACTTGGGGACTGTCCAGTTTTCTAAAGATATACAGCATTTTAGACACCTCTATATAACTCTATAGGGTCTCATGTTTTCTCACCATAAAAGGAAAGCAGAGGTATTTTTTGAGTTGCTTTTTCACCTTCAGAAAATTTGTTTATGATGAGTTTGCCAAGTTTAACTAAAATCAATCCAGTTCTCAGTTGTTTTGTTGTTTAGAATTATAGTCCTTGAACATGAATCCTTTCTGGTCATTTTGATGCATGCAAGAAGTGTTGATTGTAGTTTAGTTTAAAAAAAAAAGTTCACATTTTTCTCCATTTGTTTGTAATTGGAGAGTCATTAAAATGTCCTCTCATCCCTATACACTGTTTTAACTTCTAGTTAAAATATATTTCCCCTTTAAAAAAAAATTTACATTCCATTTATTTCCTTGATGTCAGCACAGCTTTGCAAATAAGGCAGTACACATTAGCTACCACACCCTAACTGGTTCTGCAGGGGTTGAGTGTAAAACATTGTGGGTTCTTGTATAAAAACAATGGTAATTTCTGAGCTGTACACTGTCAATCATGGATTCAAAAATTAAAAAACCCCTAAGGATTTAGAAACCACAAGATTCTCCCCCGCCCCCCGTACACCTTGTTTGACAGTGAATAGTACTTGCAACTCATTGGATATTATTTGTTCAGATCACTGACATGTACTGAAAGATGTTTAGGGAAGCCTCTTTAACCCCCCGTCCAAAACATGTTAATTAAAATATAAATTGAATCTAATGTTGGACTGTAGAGTTTGGTGAAAGAACACTTCTGATTTGTTTTATTGTGTATTTAGTTTACTGGCAGAAGACTCAGAAGAGGAAGGAGACCAATGTCGGATATGTCAGATTGCTGGGGGCTCTTTAACCAATCCACTGGTAGAACCATGTGGGTGCGTAGGAACCCTACAGTTTGTTCATCAGGAGTGTCTAAAAACATGGCTGAAAGCTAAGATAAAATCAGGTAGGAATGTGAGAGGAGAGTACAACAAGTGCAACAGCATGTCACTAATTTAAGAAACCTCATCATATGAGGGCCAAATTCACCTTTGGAATCACTCCCTGACATAAGTGGAGCTATACCAGGTGATAGCAGTGGAGTTACACCAGGGATAAATTTATCCCATAAGTTTGTCAACATTTTAATCTTTTTCCACAATGCAAAAATTAGGTCAAATAACTGCAAATATTTCATGGCCTTGCTTAGACTCCTGGCCATTAAATCAACAGATGAGCACAACTAAAATTCTAAATTTCCAGAGTTTACCATTTAAAATAAGCCAAAATATATATCAAACGCTGAGGGATTTACACATTACCAGCGGTATCATGTGAACATCAAATTTGTAGGATCCATAAACTTCACAGGTAAGACTAATTAATGGGGAGGAAAGGGAGCATGTTGAATGACAAATCCATAAAGCGAGATTAAACTTTTTTTTTTAAAATATTGAAATAGGGGGAGAAGGAACCTGCATAGGATGAATTTTAGTGCTTATGAAAGTAACTGATCGCTAGAGAAAGGTACACTGACAATTATTGCTATGCAAGCTTCCCTTATCTTCATCCCCCAACTTGGTCAATACACACTAATACTAAATTGAAACAGTCCAGGTATTGTATTTCCATTCTTGTCCTGAATGAAGATCAACAACGTTATTGTGCTATAAATGTGAATTGCAAAGCAGGGTTTTGCAAAGTTTTCCATAATATGGACCATATTTTAATACAAAGCTTGTCCTGTAAACCACTCCCCCTTACATGTGAAATCACACGTCAATTAAGCCATTGCTTGCATGGAAAAGGAATATTGAGCATACATTTGTGTGTTTTAGCTGTCTATTAGTGCAATTTAGCAGCTAGCAATGAAGGAGAGGAGTCAGTGTCATCTAAGAGTCACAGAAACAGGTCTCAGCCTCCAGAGATAACAATAAGCAAGTTTATCACTTAATTCCATATATTGTGAGAACTTACTGTTTAGATTTGTATCAAAAATTCTTTTCTTAGATTCAAGAAGACAGGAGCCCACACCAACCTTGTTTTACTCTTCACCAGCAGAGGCTGTAGCAGTTAAATGCAGATTCTTAATCCTTATTCAAATTCCTGACTGAGCCCAGTATCCGGGGAGTTAGCTACTTCCCTAGCTCCTGCCCTGGGTTCAGGGAGAGTTCAGCCAGGCAGCTTGAGAGCCGGAGTGAGAAAGAACACTAGCAAGGGGAGGGAGAGTTGGGATGGTATACTGGAAATTCATTTGGTATTTGACTAGTTATGTGTTTGGATGGGCAAAAATGGGACTTCTGGTCAGCAAAGGATTTTTTTTTAGGTGTCTGGCTTTAGGGTGAGGCCCTGATCTGAGTATCTGTAATAACCTTAGATTTCTTGGGTATTGAAAATAAAGTTTATAGAAGGCCACATGCTTTTAAACAATACTAACCACATATTAAATATAATACAGTGAGCCCCAAAGCAACTGGAACCCATTGTTCTATCTTAGAGTTTTATACAGGCACCCGTCACCACAATATCTGACTGCCTTCCACAAAAAAATCAATGGCAATAGCAAAGTCCCAAGAGGATTTCATGGAGGCTCTAGTATTTCTTCCATTTGGGGGTGAAAATCTACTTGAGGTTTTTTTGTTGTTTTTTTTAAACACGGATTTTATTAATTTCCTCCTCTTTATTGAGGTGTGTCTCAGTGTCATTTTTATGGTGGAAAGCAACTGGAGACAATTGTTCCCTTCTTTGATGATGTGGGAGGGCAGGAAAGACATCCAGTGAAAATACTAGGCAGCACACTGGACCTTTATTTGGTTGGTATTGATGAGGCCTTGAGTGTAGAGACTTGGTGTGGATGCTATTGTTATATTTTACTTGATACTTGGGTGGAATTTTCCTGCACCTTTTCTCTTTTTCACCACTATCCCCACCAGTTCAGTGAATGAAATTCTGTTTCAGAACGTATAGGTCTCACTATGTCGTCAAAGAGAGAATAGCCAGAGAGTCCAGTCTCGTTTCCACTGCAGTCAGTGGCAAAATTCCTGCAGACTTCAGTGGGAAGGAGCCCAAAATATTTAAAACAAATACAAATAGAAGTGTGTTACTGGTTATCTGGAGTTATTGTTTTTCAAATGTGGTTCCTGGACTACAAGCAGACTTCTAGTGTTTTGTGGAATTAAGGACCTGGAGAAGCAAGCGGTGGGTGTTGATAAGAGAGAGGGCTCGATACGAAGACTTCTCTAATGAAATGGCCTGCCAGAAAGAAAACTGACCCTCTGAGTTAGATCTTACTCACCATTTTCAACTCCGCTTTTTGACTCTTCAACTTGCAAGGGGAAAAAACAAAATCTATCTTGGACTCTGTTATTGGTTATTTTTCTACAGTATAACAATACATACATTTATAGGTAACAAGCAAGAGAAAAGAGTATTTCACATCATACTGTCAGTCTTGAGTGAGTTGGTCCCTAAGGGCCAGGCCCATATAGTTAGGGCCAGATTTTCAGAAAAGCTGAGTTTCCATTTAGGCACTGGACTAAAAAGCCAGATTTCCGAAAGATCTCAACACACTGGGTGCATGTTGGTGACTGAACTCTTTTGAAAGTCTGGCCATAAGTGTCACAATGGGAGTGGAGGACTTTTGAGAATCTGGCTTTCATTTAGGAACCTAAATGGGAACTGAACTGATCAGAAAATCTGGTCCCAGTTGTGGGTGCTGAGGCCTTGGAAATCTGGCCCTGAATGGCCACTTACATTACTTGAACTTACATTTGTTTCAAACAAATGAACATATAAATATTACTTTTCTATGTCAAATAAACCATATTGATCAAGGTATGCATCTCATAACTCCTGCATTTGTGACCCATATCTGTTACAGTTTTGTAAATGGTTATACATCACATGGAGTGTAATAGACAATACAGCTAGTATTTAAAACCATTATACAAAGCTCACATAAGACTGGGTATGATTAGAATAGAGTTCAATGGAATTTAGATTCAAAGCTAGCAATTGAGTAAAAAAATGGCTTAAAAATAAAGGTTCCATATAGTAGTGATTTTGTAATATACGGAGCCTCTGTGCTCAATATGGACTTACAAGTTCAGTATTTAATTCCTCATTTAATTTCAGGTGCTGAGCTGGGGGCAGTGAAAACCTGTGAACTGTGTAAGCAGAGCCTGATAGCTGATCTGGATGATTTTGATGTGAATGACTATTATAGAAATCACCAACAGTCTCGGGTAAGAAACGGACTCTTTCCAAATAAAGGCCTGTAATCCTATTTTGCTACTGCTGGCTTGCAGTACTCTGTGCGTGTAATGATCTGCCATCGTGCACTGAAGCCAGCTAAACTGCAAGGAAGAGATATGCTTCTTTACCCCCATTTAAAGAAATGTAAAAAAGCCCCTGAGTAATAAGAGTCAGAGAATAATAATCACAGTTCATTTCACAAAACTGCCCAGTATCATGAGGTTTTGAGTGAAGGAAGTTTGTAATTACCTTTGGAGATGGGGAATAACATTCTTGTTTGCTAGGTAGAGATGACATTGCAATGTGCAAGCCTCTTGAGGGGGAGACTAGCCAAGGTTAGTTGTCCTCTGCAGCATCTTACAATTTAAAAAATACACAGACAAACAGAAGATTCAGGTGGATTTTTTATTTTCAAGGAATTGAACATCATTCCATTATTAATATTAAAGTGTTATTTGTGAAACAAGTTAAATAAATTTATTTTAAACAGAAAAATGCAGGGGTAAGAGAGAGATATTGAGAGCTGTAAGAAAACAAACCTAGCATCATAATAGTGATGGGAGGATTAGCTCAGTGGTTTGAGCTTTGGCCTGCTAAACCCAGGGTTGAGAGTTCAATCCTTGAGGGGGCCACTTAGGGATCTGGGGCAAAATTGGTCCTGCTAGTGAAGGCAGGGGGCTGGACTCCATGACCTTTCGGGGTCCCTTCCAGCTCTATGAGATAGGTATATCTCCATATATTATATAATAGATTTAGTATTTTTTAGCTTTATGCCTGCCAAAGAGTAGCTTAATTTTCCAGAAAATAAATATTCCAAGCATGGAGTGCTAATACTTTACTATAAGATGGTGATGGGGTCAGCTTGTTCAGAAACAAGATAAATGTTGTTCATAAAGGGAGACAGGAATGACAGGGTAGGTCATGCTGGTGGGGGAGTGGCAAAATGTGAAAGAAAGCATATTGTCAAATAGCAGGGTCTCTACACTCTGGAATAATCACACTGAACCATAAACAGACTAAAGTGATAAGCACACATACCCCTTTTCAAACTTTAGAGTGTTTTACAGAATTACAGGCTGTACCTATATTGGGTACAGTTTGATGATTCAACACATCAAATTCACACATTTAAGGACATACTGCAAAGCTCATCTCTTTTCCTAGGCATTTGAAAATGGGTGGAATTGTAAGGATGAGTAATTGTTGGAGAGATATGGGGAATTAAGGTAATGGTAGGTCTTGCTTGCTGGTTGTGATTTCTATCTGTTTGTACTGATGCACTTTTAAGTATTATTTGTGATGTATTCTAGTTATGCCAAAAGCACCTAAAGCATATGGATAGATATGCTATTTAGCATTTATAGAAATCTAAATAAATACTGCAGTGTGCCAGAGTTTTTCCCACTGATTCGTAGAAGATAGCCACTTCTACCAGATTGTGTTTCTCAAATTATTTGCAGTAAACAATGTATATTTCCCCATCTGCATCGCTCTAGGCCTTATTTAGTTATAAAAAAGTAAATGATTTCCCAGCATGCTTTGATAGAAGTGATACCACCAAACTATTTTCTAGCTGATTGATTTGCCATTGTGCTGTAAAATGTATATGAATATAAAGGTTCACTTAGAAAGAGATTGTCTGTAGATACCCATTGAAAGCGCAGAGGAGAACAGCATGGCTTGGAATATAATTCCCTGTCTGAATGGAACCAAAAAAACACAAACAAGCAAAAACACCATAAGTGCCAATGAAAATACAGCTTCCAAAAACGATTTGAGGAGATTTTGTAAGTGCTAAGCCATGCAGATGAAGGCTGTAGTTTCAGGAAGGCTGTAGTTTCCAGATCAATGACCATCTCTTAGGATTATTACACTGGTAGCACTGACAGAGGATGCTGTTGAAAAAGTTTGACCAAGTGACTTGCTCAAGTTCAGAGAAGCAGTTAGAATTGATGAGTACCTGTCTCCTGGTTATATGCTTCGGCTATGCCTCTCAGGGACTACTGTACCTGAATGCTTCATTTTTAAGCCAATGTTCTTAATCAAGAACATGCTGCTTAGAACCGCACTATTATTAGTAACTTCAAGGGTTCGTTTAGTATTCAGTGTGCACCATTAAAAAAATTATCACTTTTTTTTTTTTAAATCTCTGCTTCAACAGTGAAATGTAACTACTTCTGGGCTGGAAAGATGGCTGTCATTCTGAGCTAGCAATATGATACAGTGTATTTGGAGGGGAAATTGTTATAATTGTTAATTTCAGTGATTCTTTTCACCAGTGGCAGGTTGATGCACTAATTACATAGAATAAAACGTAAACAAAAAAATAGTCAAAAGCCAGGCAAAATAATTCTTACATTTTGTTCTGCCGATTGATTAGATTCACAATTAATAACATTCAGCTACAGAGGGGGAATTTGGGAAGGCAGAATTAATTACCTACCCAGAGTGCTCCCAAGACACTGGGTTTTCAGCACCCCTATGATTGCTACAAGTGCTGTGAGATCTTTAATGCCCACAAATGGTCAGGATTTCAAATTTCCATCATATCAGAAAGCTGAAACATCCAGCAGCATAGCAAACTCCACTCCATGATATAGCATTGAAAGGGAAGAGTGCCACATGCTAACTCTCCACACTCATGGTTTTCCCTGGAGAGCTTCCATCTAATTATGGAAAGGCCCACTCCTCATTTGCATTTTAGATCTGATGATCTGTATTGTATTTGATATGTGCCAAAATATACAGCAGTTTAAGATGGCATAGCTTCATCTTTTTGTTAATTATTAGCTGAGATTTGTCATTACTTGTGCCAAGAAGTTAACTTATATTTGTTTTCTTCCTGTTTAGTGCTGTATGGAACCCAACTGATTTTCTCCTCTTTAATTTCCTTCTTATAAGATCCCAGGTTACA